GTAAATACCACATTTTTATCTTTTTCGTTTAATAAATTTTGTACAATTAATAAATGGCGGTCAAGTGTACTGATCTATATGATTCGTTCGGGGATACGCAGTAACGCGTGAAGGTCTGCTACCGATCGCGGGGGAAATCGGCTTTGGGAAGTGGGGCTGGACTGAAACAAGAAAAAATGGCCGATGAGAGGTTCGCAAGAAGGCATAAAGTGATAATATTGGATGGATACCGGAGAAAATCGGTAAAGGAAAAGGGAGATCTGGACTATAACGCGAACAGTAAGAGGTTCGGGGATTCGCAGTACCGGCAGACGTTCTGATATTATCAGGGGTGGGGGCAACACGACAATTAGAAGGTCTCTCCCTGCGCATTTGTTTTCGATGAGGGGGCCAGAGGGGGCTATGAAGGGGCTGGAGAAGGGGCTATGGCGGGGCAAATCCCTGATGTGGCCCCCTCTGGCCCCCTCAACGAATACAAATGCGCAAGGGGACAGCGTCTAATTGTCGTTCTTGCCCCCACTCCTGATAATATCAGAAAGTCCGCCACGCAGTCGAATTTTTTTCTACTCTTATATCATCAAGAGTCAGAGCAGTCCTACCGAAAGCATTTGACATTTTGTTGCACCTGTGTTAAACGCTTGTCGTAGGAGGTTTTGCTGGGCTTGCGGGGCAGCCTTAAGTAAACCTTAAAAAAGCTGCGTACTGATAATCCCCTGGTGGCGTTGGTTGGTTTAAGTATCTCCCCCAAGGTGTATTTTCCGAGGTGTTGCATGGTCTAAAAGTCGCTTTTTTACACAGATATTTACTGGAGAATGCGTGGCGGCATCGGCCAGCCAGTTATATATTTTCTTGTCTTGGTCTTTCCGCAAATATTTCGTCGTTGTCATCGCCGTCGTCAGAGGTGAGCTGGTGGACAAACCTACAACGATATATTAATGAAAAGCAAACACTTACTCTTTCCTCATGCCTCGGCCTAATTCCGTAGGCTCCGAGTGGGAAAGATCCTCAACATCTTCAGCCTTTCTGGCTAGCTGAAACCCTCTGTCGAGTGGCAGGTTATCCTTCAGCAAACGGACCGCGTAAATCTTCGTGTCTGCCGGAGGCCTTAGGTTATTCTCCAGCAGACGGTCACGTTGCTTGGAGTTCTTAATCCACATCACACAGTTATCGCTGTGAAACCAACTCTTCGCCACGGCCGCCACAGAATTATCATAAAGAAACTCAACAAACGCGTACATCTTTAAGTATTGTCCACAAAAAACAAAACGGAAAATTGGCTGTGAGATGTAAAACGGAAAAAAGTGGGGGAATCAAAAATCAAAAAGTGTGCAGATGGGAATCAGGAAAAAACAGCGGTCAAGCTGAAAGAAGACGTATTTACAAGTAATGCCTTCAGGAGTAGCATTCGAAAATTTGGTATCCAAAACGAAAGCCCTTAATATAAATTGGAGGAGTAGAGTGCGGGATCGAAGCAGTCTTGGCAGTCAACAAATCGACGGTAGGCTATGCCAGTAGCCGACACAGATCCTTGGGAAAGTTCAAAGGCGGGCAACCAAACTCGCTAGTGGATAGGGCTAACTACCCTACGAAACAAAGCTGTCCAATCTCGGCCTTTTTCTACTGCGTTTCAGAGAGCTAAAAGCGACATTATACAAACATTCCCTAAAATGCGCGGCCAGGACTGCTGTCGCTTACCTGCTGATTTCTTTGAGTTAGCAACTACAATGAACCTCCGAGGACATCTACTTAAAATACGTTTGACTGACGACAGGCTGGACATGAGGAAGTTCTTCTTTTAAAACCGAGTGTTCGAGGCTTGGAATGTTCTGTCTGCAGATGTCGTCATATCCACCGCCGTAGAGACTTTTAGGCGCAATTTGGGCCAGTATACCACTAAACGTCATAATGTCACCTAACCGATATCGTCCTTGCATTTCGCTTGAACAGTTTATTAATGCTATTTTATTACTGCTTACATTTTTTATTCTTATCCCGAGTCCGTTGAATGTGAGTGTCGGCATTCAATTCGTCTATCTCAGAAACTGAGATCGCACCAAGTACCCATAGACTGACTACTGTACGGCACATTTAGGAATATAAATATTTTTAACACTTGGAACAATCCAGTTATCTGACTGGTTTAGGAAATGTTGCCAATCTGAGAAAAGACTTTTGTAGCCGTTTGACGTGTCCATATTCAAATGTTTAATAAAATTCTTTTCCTTGTAACGAACAGGGAGTTCAAAAGTTAAACACCTTTGTTTCTCTCAAATAAACTGAAGCTGAAGTCGAAACTGAAACTAACTGAAACTCCCAAGACGACAGATTACGGATTTCGAATCCAATTTTAAACCTGTAGACGCCGGCATACTAAAGCACACATCTTCAGTTATTTTCAGCGTATGATAATTCACGCTGAACACTGGAACGTCTGAAATAAATCAACGAAAGGGAGGGGCGACAGACAGAACGAAGTGCGGTCATGCCGGGCCATCACAACAAAAGACCGCAAAGACCGTGAGATGCCTGGACTAACATGAAAAAATAAACAAAAAAATTTATTTAAGACCCATGGTGGTCCCATCATAGCGAGTGAAAATAAATTTTCAAGCAAATTTTAAACAAATAAACAGATTCTGTACACCATTCAGTTCACGTTTGCAGAATAAACAGTCACATATAAAAACGGTCAGGGAATAGTGAAAAGGCATGTTGAGAGGGAGGTATATGGTTCAATGATCTCAGACACTGCCGTTGTTCTGTGAACATAGCGATAGATTTGGCTATCAGATCGGCTACCGTTTCCAAGGATAGGTCCGATTTTCGAGTATCTGGAAGCATCTGGAAGGCCTGCAGTTGGCTGGAGAAGAGCGAATGGCTTAGATAGAAGTAGTGGGACATACATTATATGTATCGGAGTGCATGGTGGGATCATGCCTGTCCCATATGAGATGGCTTTGGAAAGTTGTTTCATACCTTTTTCACTAAAACACTTATTCACTAAGATAAATCTCGCTAGGGATACATTCTGTCAATTCGGTCGGCTGAAGAGTAAATATTTTCTTCTAAAAATGTGAGCTGTTCGTTTTGGAAACTAATACCCGATGCTCTGCTGCTATTATCATTTTTATTTACTTTTTAATAACTAGATCGTGAATATTTATAATTTGTACGAGTTTATTTAAATAAATTAGGGGGGGGGCTTTTGTAGTTGTTTTTAAGCTTATTTAGTTAAATTAAAAGGAAGTCTGGGATAAGTAGTTTCATAAACAGGCATCGTTGGTCAATTTAGGTTTCCGACTTATAGCTACGGTAGAGTTTAAGAGATTAACTGCTTCCCTAAAGGATGTTGTTAGGAGTTATGGGCTCCAGGCTAATGAGCTACTATAGTTGTTCACGGAGTCTTCGCCCGTTTTGTTGGATTTATGCAAGGGTTGCAACAATCTCAGAGACAATTTGCTTCTCAACATCACAGAGAAAATCTTCGCGCCTCCTCAATTGTCTGGCGACGCATCTGGGACAAGGACCCACCCCAGAATGCCAGTGGCAGTTTTTCAGGGTCACGAAACTGCTGACATAACCTTTGCGGCATGTCAGACACAAGAAATATATCAGAAAATGCATATCAACATTTACACTTCTTTCGTTGCTCTGACAAAGGCCTTCGACTGAGTCAGTCGCGATTGACTCTGGGAAATAATGCTGAAATGCAGATGTTCGGAGTACTTCACACAAGTATTGCGCATCATAGAGAACTGGGCATTCTCGGAAGCGTTTGTGGTGACCAGTGGGATGGAGCAGATCAGCGTACACGCTTTTACACACTTCAGCTTCATGTCCACTTCCATGCCGATGGATGCCTACCGTGAAGAGTGCCCAGAAATCGACATCCACTACAGGACTAACGATCGACTTCTCAATATCCTACGTATGTAAGCATCCACGCAGCTATTAAAAACCACCGCCTGCGAAGTCCTCTCGGAGAACGATTGCCCGCTCAACACCGCGAATGGAACGGGTGTGCAAATTAGTTTGGACCTTTTCGACACCGGCTGCGCACGCGTCGGGTTGGGTATCGACCTACACAAGAGAAAATGGCCCTCACAGCAGCCTGAACTCGCTCATCCTAAAAAGTGGACAAATTCGCCCAACTAGATAATACGCTCTCGTAGGACACAAAAATCGAAAGTAAAGTTAAGCATACGATCTCCACTCCGGCCAGGATTTCGGCCGCCGTAGATTTCCATCTCGAATCGTCAAGGGCCCCATCTGAGGATACTAGCACAGCAAGTAAAAACATACTTTCAAGTAAATTTTAAAACGAGTATACATACTCTGTACACTATTCTGGATTTTACCCAATCCAATTTTCAAAACCGAATTCAAGTGGTAAAGATTCGAAAATTGATCTTAGAACCATCCCACACTACCAATGGAGTACTTCAGAGCATTATCATGGGCCCCCTTCTATCTGTCATATATATTCATGACTTATCATCCATATCCGTCTCAGCTAAAAAGTTGTTATGTGCAGACGACCTTAAACTCCCACATACATATAACAAGCATACAGCGGCCAATATGCACAGAACAATCAAAACTGATCTTAGCAAACTTTGCGAGTGTAGTGGTCAAAGATAAACACCTTTCTCACCGGCAAAAATGCCATCTCCTGATTTTTGGCCCACAAAAATTTTCCCATAATTTTCCAGGGTAATGAAATTAGGAAGGGCAATCAATAAGGGTTCCGAAAAGGAAGATCCTGCACGACAAACCTGCTGCAATCTCTCCAGAGCTGGACCCAAGCTCTCGACGACAGGCACGCGGTCCACATAGCCTTCATCGACTTCCAGAAAGCTTTCGACACTGTGCCACGCCAAAGGCTCTTACATAAGCTGAAAAAAATAGGGATCGGTGGCAACTTCCATAAATGGATCGAAAACTTCCTTGTGGGTCGACAGCAGGTTGTGTGCGTCGGTCGGGGAAAATCAGATCCGGCTATGGTCGAAAGTGGTGTCCCCCAGGGTTCAGTACTGGGACCCATTTTGTTCCTTATCTACGTGGACGATGCCGCAAGAGATTTGGACTGTGAAGTAGCAATGTTTGCGGACGACATGAAGATATGGAGTGTAATCCGGGGTCCTGCCGATGAAGACAGACTGCAGATGAACCTGAATCGGTTGGAGGAGTGGTCAAACCGTTGGCTCCTGCGGTTCAACGTTGCCAAATGTAGCATACTTCGCCTAGGCAACACAGCCAGATCCGCCAGCACAAGAGGCTACTTTCTGGGCGGTGCAGCCCTACAAGAGGTCGAAGCCCAAAAGGACCTCGGTGTGCTTACGACGAGTTCCCTAAAACCATCCGCCCACTGTTCGAGGGTGGCAAAAACCGCAATGTCCGTACTGTACGCCATCAAGCGTGCGTTTATGGACTTTGACGAAGAAGCCTTCTCTAAGACATTTGGAACATTCGTCCGGCCACATTTAGAGTACGGCATACAAGCTTGGAGGCCGTGGGGTGTTGTGGATCAAAACTGCCTCGAAAGAGTCCAGAGGAGAGCCACGAAGATGGTCAGGGGTCAAAGCTCCTTTCCTTATGCGACCCGCCTAGTAAATCTGAACCTCTTTCCTTTGAGTTACAGGCAACTTCGCGGAGATCTCTTGCAAGCCTTCCGCATTGTAAAGGATTTGGATTGCAGTCTGGCCTTCGAGGACTTTTTTGAATTTGCTACCACGACCAACCTCCGAGGTCACCCGTTAAAACTGCGCACTCAGCAGGCACGGCTGGATGTGCGGAAGTTCTCCTTCTCGGTTCGGGTGGTCAAACCGTGGAATGAGCTTCCCGCAGATGTTGTGAAGTCACCATCTATACAAAGTTTTAAGAAGAATGTGGACATATTTATGTTCCGAAATGACCAAGAGCGATGAGAAGTCGAGCTCACCCCCTGTAACTCCTTCTCATTTTGTCCCACCATTATGGGCGTGTTCGAACTATTTCAGCCCAGAACATCTATCTGTACACCACACATTTTTTACGTTGCAAATAGGGTACTCAAAGGCTTACGCCTATTTCCCTCAATAAACTGAACTGAACTGAACTGAAAAGGGACTTAGGTCTGGGCTATACAAATACCCTTGATTTATCCCCCTATGCTTAATAAATATCCCCGAAAGCCATTCACCTGTGCGGATTCAGATTTAAAAATTTAACTTTAGATGCACTGAAACCACAACTTTTAAAAGTGTACTCTTTACCTCTCCTAGATAACTGCTCAATTTTCTTTAGCTTAATGCCCTTGGATGGACGAAAGAAAGTAGAATGTATTCAAAGGCGCTTTACTAAATATTTATCCAAATGTCATGGCACCCAGGGTCGATACTTCATCATAAATACGGTCTTCGACCCATCTGTATCAAAAGACTCCAAAATGGTCTAAATTTCCCATCCAAGGTCAAACATAACCGAGACGTTCTCAAAATAAATTTACTAACAAACCAAAACGCCCCCCCAAACGCTGGAAATCACGAAGATATTATAAAATTCTGCAACTTCAAAAGGTGCCGACGCTCAAGTCTCAACTCTATAAGATATGCGACTATCTGGAATGTCCTCCCAAGTTCTAGTCGAAAACGTCGAAATTTAGCAGAATCTATATATATATAAAAATGGAAGGTTTTTATGTGTTATATGTAATCTCTGAAAGTACTGCACCGATTGCGCTAAAATTTGGACAAAACCTGACTAACGCATAGGGCTGGGTTTTTGTCTATTCAATTTTGTAATTATGCAGATGGTAGGCCTGTGATGGGTAAAAAACCGGATTTTTTCCGGCCTAATAACGCCACCTGCTGCGGCCACTTGACCTACATCCGCGCGGACACATGAGCGCCCAGACTGTGGCCACTTGACTGACATTCGCTCAAACGCACGTCCTCCGCCTGACAGACGCGCTCACCCCACCACCCAACCTGCAGGCACTTGAGCAGGCCCTCCACCCTCTCTGGGCCGATGCAATATGGGCCGCCAGAGCAAACCACCCCTGGGCCAAAAAACGCGCAACACTTTGACGCCACTTAAAACTGTCCCCGTCCATATAATAGGGCCCTCACCGCTACCTCGGGGATGCTCGTGGGTGAGGACTGGATGCAATTAACACCAGACCCTTCCCCCACAAAACCCACATAATGTGGATGTCGCCCAATGTCAGCTCAGTATTGTGCAGCTCGGCTTGCGGAAGTCCGGGTACGGCCACGGCTACCGCGTTCTGCAGTTTCAGGCCTGCTTCGTTCACAACAGAATGAACACTACCAGCTGGGAGTGACCGAATGGCGCCAGCGAGGAAACAGCAGACCAGCGTCCAACACGCCTCCGTATTCAGCATTCACGTTGTGTGATGCTGCTGTAAACGACGGTACGACAACAACTGTTGGAAAACTAATGATTTTAGGGCAAGTTGATACCATATATACGGGCAGTCGGAGACCGATTTCAACGCAGTATGCATTTACTTTTCGAGATGGTGCCGGGGGATATTAATTCAACGTGAAGATGACAAATCTAGTCAGTGACGAGGTAATGCACATGAAATGCAGCGCAATGAACCACTACTCCTACCGACTTATGATCCGACAGAATGTTAGTAATCGCCCTTTTGAAATCCCGTAAATTGCTTCATCACTGCATAGTGGATATGTATGCAAAAATCGAAACTGAACGCCTGCTTTACCTTTGCTTGAATCAGACCAAGCTGCGCTCTGAAGGATACATTGCTTTGCGTGATGCAGTTGTAAATGACGGTAATACAGATAACGTCGTAAGGCTAACGCTTTCGTCATCCACATATACAGACAGTCCACGCCAAATTTTATGGGTTCGAAGACTAGAAGCGGGTCTCTGTCTCCTCTTTAGCATTAATCATAGTTCAAGTTCTCCTCGGATTTCAACACTTACCCCTAGTAGTCGCCCATACAATCTTCGCAACTCGTCTCTAATTATACCTCTTCCAGCGTCCTCCACCTCTAAGCGCTCCCTTTTTTTCGCTTCCAGGTATACTTTCCTCTGGAATAACCTTCCAATAAATATAAGATCTTCAGAAAATTCACACACCTTTAAGAGAAGGCTACGCCTTTATCTGAATACGGAAGGTCAAGGTCAAGGCGCGCAGCTCAATTTCAAAGATAAGTGAAGCTCTGCATTTATCTGGACATTCTTAAGTAATTAATGCCTGTTTTTTTACTTGAGTCCGTTTTAAAAGTCGCCTTTCTATATAAGGTAAATTTTTTTTCCAGTTTGTTTGACAGTCTGGCAAAATAGTTGTATTTTGTAAAAAATCCATTGTAGTGAATCCTTTCCCTACTACCGCTTTCTAGTTTTCGTAGTAAAAAAACAGTAATACTTGCTACTCAGTGCGTGTTTCCGTTTTGATCCTTCTTCTGTAACGAAAAACTTAT